CCACACCACAGAGAGGTATGTTTTCAAGTAAATCCGAACAACTTGATTAATTTAGCTAAAAGAAATTGTAAATACCAGGGTTGGTCATCTCTGTCCTAGAGAACATGCAGCTGTAATTAGTCTAGTTACTTTAATGCTAAATATTTTAGCATCACCAGTTGAATAAGTCTAGCTCTTGTCCTACCTCATACTCTTGGGAAAACCGGAGGGCATCGTTGGCCTTGAGGCGCTCGATGTGGTCTGCCAGTTCGGAGACGGATATGGGAGGATGTTCCCTCATTCCTAAAAGAGAAAATATGACAACGAGAAGTGGTGAGCACATCCTAAAGTATCACACCTAATGCATCGTAGCGTTACGGTGGGGAGTGAATCTGTCAGGTTTGAGTTGAGCAGGGCACGACATAAAGAGGTACTTCTTGCACCTTGATTTGACATAATCCCTCAGAGAGATTTGTGTTGACATATGTTGTGTCCTCTTACGTCTAGCCCCCAAACACGCTCTGGATTTCCTGTCTAAGGGGGTCAGCTTGCTGCCAAGAATCATTTCACTGCCAGTGCCTATGGATGTATCAAGGCTACATGCTCAGCTGGATGAGAGAAAAAGTATGTTGTCTGACCAGGAAAGGAGGGGGAGTTGGATCTGTCAGTAGGATTCTAGTGGTTGAGGATGAATAAGGCTGCTTAATGGGACATGGTTGGGTATGATTCCCCATTACGAGTTCATTATGCCCACAGTGAGCACAGTAATGTCTGGACGAGCCCCCTGCCAACTACTTCATGCAACCATTACTGCGAGACAGTGGGCAGCAGGATAAGGGGCCACTCTCTTAATCAACCGCACTGAAGTCATGCCAAAAATCCCAATTTTTATGTATGCTTGAGATCAGAACAATGCAGGCACATTTTGTTTGACCATTTGTCTGACCATTTTATCTAAGGATGGCTCATGCGAAATTCAGAGAAAAAAACAGCGCCATATGTAAACGTTTATTTTCATGTTTCCTATAACAATTACCACCTATACTGTTTGCACCACAAAAACAGGAACTGATTCTTCTGAGCTCAGAGTAGGATTTAACACAAAATATAGAAACAACCAGGGATGTACGCACATTTTAGGGTTGTGAGCAAGTTGTGTCATATTGTGTCTGAACATATAGCAATTGAATAATGAAACACATTGTTTACACAATTACTCCAATAACTCCAGGATTATAAGGGGCTTTCACAATGGGTAGTAATAGGAACTCAGTTCAATAAACTAGCCACCAGGCTTGGTGTCCTGACATTTTATCCTACACATCAGATTATGCTTCCAACGCTGTATTTAAATGGTTTTGAGGTTGGAGTTAGGGATTAGGTGGGTCAGGGCAACATTACAGCTTCATATCACACTACTCCACATTAAAATTGACACTGGTAGCAAATCTGATAGGTAGCATATTGCGCCGCCAAAATGTGCAACCTACTTTTTGAATGAAAGGTAGGACAATCTGACCAGGTAAGACAAGAACACTTAACAGTACTGGGAAAGAGCCAAAAAGCAAGTACTTCCAGCAACAGTTCTAGGAATTGCGAAAAAGTTCCCCTGGTGTGAAAGCCTCTATGGAAAACTGTGACAGATAGTAGAAGAAATAAGCAGAAGAACTACTTTGTTCCTTATTCCATTTGCTGATGCTGTCAAATTCCACACCTAAATAACATCCCTGTGGTTCGCTTTATGTCACTTTATAAAAATGACTCTAGTGGGTAGTTCCTATAACTATCTGCTGCAAAGGCCCATCAAGAGTGCATTAATATTTATATTCTTTAATTGAGTATACTTAATAAGCTGATATGAATAATGTCATGTAAACATGTTACCCAGAATTCTTTTATCAGTTGAAGGATCAAAATCATATCAGAACAGGTACATTTGTTCTTTTTTATCCCTAAACTTGAGGCGGTGGTAATATTTCGTAACATTCCTGCCCTTATAAAGCACGAATCCTGTTGTCGACTCATACAGTTGATGCAGTATTACCAAAATAAAAATGTGCTGCGTTCACAAGTACTGTAAAGTTATATATCACTTGTAATAACAGCACAGCTTCTGCGAGATTTCCAACCAATATTTTTGAGCTACTTTCGATGATGTTTGGGCTTGAAATCTTTCAAACTTGGAAAACTATGCTTTCTGTAGAGTTGCTTTATTAACAGTTTTTGATATAATCAGATTGTTGACAATTCTCTGTTTATTGTGTGCATTTAAACACATTCAGTGTTAGCCTAAGAGTGTCAGTGCTAAATTAACACTCTTATAAATGAAGAAAACTTCTAGTTACCTCATGGTATTGCCTTATAGGACAAAAACAATAAAATTTCAACACAAGGAACAACTTTTTCCTTATAACTGAATACTCATATTTAATATTGAGATATCATGCTTGCATGGTTCGTAGCAGGATATTACATGTATCCAGACATAGGTCATAAACATAAAAATGGTGTTTGCCATTTAAGCATAATTACCGCTGTTTTCTAGCACACAAACGAGAGACAAAATATTCCGTATATTTAGAGGCTAATGACGCAATAAGCTGCACCATGAGCACATTAAGTGAATACAGCACAGGCTACGTCCATGTTAAACAGCGAGTTAATTAGGCAGCGAATAGCTTCAACCCAGCATGCAAAGCAGGGAAAGGCAGATTACAAAATGTCTGGAATTGAAATGAATGGCCAAGGTCATTAATATGAAAATGTAACTAGAGACATATAGACAGGGGACTGGAAACATAACCTTACTGCTACATGTAAGACAATGGCAGGAAATAAAGCTGGATAATGTGGACGTGTGTTTCCTGTACACACATTACATAGAATTAAATAACTGCTGCAGTAATGCAGGCACAACATGCCCTGCTTCACATATGAGTGTTTTCACAACAAATGGAAATAAAATACATAATATGTCTACTAATATTGTCCAATATTGCATAGGCCACAGTAGAATTGTGTCACTTTTTTGTCCTCTAAAATGTTAGTTAATTAATTAATTATAAACATTTCTCATTTCAATTCTTCATTGCTTTATAACCCTTTGATACATATTGCAAGACATGTTTAGTATTTATATACAACAAAAAAGTGAGAAAAAAAGACTGGTGAAACAAACCCAAACATTAAACCACTACAGCATAATTCATGCTCCCAAAACAACTCAGTCCGGTGTCTGAAAAATGAATGAAACGGTGAAAAGTGAAGTGTGCTTGTGGCCGTGGCAGCAGGGATCGACGGTAAAAGAGGTGTACGGCTGTTTTGCCTGCAGTAATTATGTGCTCTTCAGGACTGAAGGGGTCTGTAATAACCTGGCTCCACTGCCACCGCTCCGCTATTACAGGAGAGAGAGAGAGAGAGAGAGAGAGAGAGAGAGAGAGTGTGAGAGAGAGAGAGAGAGAGAGAGAGAGAGTGATAGAGAAAGAGAGAGAGAGAGAGGCAGGCCTGACATTTTCTCTTAGCGTCACGGATCTGCCTCTCGCTCACCTTGGGAATGGAAAGCAGGAAGGCTAATTAACAAAGAGGGGCTGAAAGAGTGCAAGAGGCCTTTGGGTGAATGAAGTCCATATAAGACACTCCAAGGAGATGAGACAGTGAGTGGAGGATCTGCAATAAACAGCTCAATTCACAGCCACCAGACGACAAATAGTGGCTTAAACGTAATGTAAAGCAGAGCACTTCATCGTGATTCTCCTATTCAGGATAAGCACTATGAACAAATAAAACAAAATATATCTGCAGGCCTAACGGTGTAAACAGATTACCTTGTTCACAGAAATGAAAATAAAACGGTTGTTCTACAAAATAAGAAGATCTCAAAATTAAATATAAAGAATAAAATCAAAGAAAAATTTCTTATAAGGCTTGCAGTGTTGTGAAAATGAAAAGAATATATATATATATATATATATATATATATATATATATATATATATATATATATATATATATATATATATAAATTGTATAATAAAATTTAAATGTAATAAATTATTAAATACAAATACTGTTAACACTTTATTTTGATGGTTTATTTGTGTATTATTAGACTGTCTGCTTAATATTTGTTGATACTGCTCCATCAACAGACATATAACTGACTATACGGTAAGTACGTCAAAACCCTAACCTCAAACTAACAGTCTACGTATAATCTAATGAGAATTTTTTGACATGCAGATAGCATTTAATTAGTACCTTAAATTCAACAAATGGAACATCAATATAAAGTGTGACCAAATTACACGAAATAAAACACAATAATCTCAATTTCAAAAGTGAAAACAAACGTTCAAATGGAATAAACAAAACTCATTAAAATAAAACTATTTAAATAGTATATATATATATATATATATATATATATATATATATATATATATATCAGGGCTTTGTTAACTATTATGATATGAATACAGTTCACTGTAAAAAATCCAACTTGACAAATGTTGAAATTGCTTGATTTTTTTTGTTGGTTCAGCAAAAATCTGTAAAAAAGTCTGTACAACTACATTTAACACATTCAATCAACTTAAACAAAGATTTTATTCATTAAGTTAAAAAGATGAGTTTTGTGAGCAACACTTTGCTAGTTCATTCAAAAAAGCATCTGCCAACTTGTTTTTTTGTGTTAAGTCAATCTCTGACTTTTTTAATGCAATGAATATACAAGTAGCATAACCTTTTGTTGATTGAAAAGGTTTCAAACATGTTAAATATTCTAAAAAAATTATCAATGGCAGTATAGAACCTTTTCCCAGAGATGGGTTGGGGCTGGAAGGGCATCCGCTGCGTAAAAACCTGCTGGATAAGTTGGCGGTTCATTCCGCTGTGGCGACCTCAGATTAATAAAGGGACTAAGCCAACAAGAAAATGAATGAATGAGTATAGAACCTTTCATGGTTTGTATTAAAAAGTAAATGCTGATTGAAAATGCTATTATTATTATTATTATTATTAATACAATAATAAATATCGTTATTCTTCACATTGTTATTAAAAACAACAAAAAACACTACAATACTTATAGTAACTTTATTTGAAACTTTTCATTTGCAATTTAACTTTATTTGGTGCACATTTGCAGAAATAAGCTTGCACGCACATTATCATCTCGTGTTTATTCATTACCCTTTAAAAAAAGAAAGGCATACTTTGATATTCCAATATTTAAAAATAAACCACGCACTTAAAAATATGTTTCTCAAAGGACGATATAGCATCATTCTGTCTTGAGCTAAACCACGCCCTCGTTACGATGGTTGCGCTTACGTAACGTCAACGTCTCAGGCGGGAGAAACTGGAAGCATTGTACTTCGGTGGGGAAAGAGGCAAGCCGTGGAAGAGCAATCTTAATAGTAAGTGTGCAAAGATTGTAGTTCTTTGTTTAAGACACTTCATCTAAATTTGTCCTCCTAAATGTTCATCATATACGCGCAAAAATGTGTGCAGATGCGGCGCTTAGTGATTATTCACATAATCTCTCTTTGTTATGTGATAAGAGTGAATGAATATTTGTGTTGCCGTAAATCATATCCATGCCCCGGGTAGCAGGAAGTAATCGGCCCGAGCTCGGCTGCCCTTCGGCGCCTCCGGCTCCGACTCGGCATCAACGAGTGTTATACGGGCGTAGTGTGGCCCGCAGCTCGCTCGCGCACATGCGTTTGTGATGCAGCTGTAAACACTGGCCAGATTCCTGTTAACCCTATCTGGCCCGAGTCTGTCTCGGCTCGTATAAGGACTCGGCTTGTGTAACTGATGACAACCGATTAAATTCTTATTTTATCTAGTAATTTGTTAGCTCCACGTTTAATGATAATTTGAGAAAATATATATGGTACAACAGCAACAAAATAATAAAAACATTTAGTGTGGATGGTCGCAATGTTTAGATGAAAACAAAACAATATTATTTATAAATGGATTATATATATCATCAAGGGAAAACAGTGTAAAATGCGCTTATTTTCGAGATAGCACGCTTCCATGCAGACTGTTTTTTTAAGCAGAAGTTTGGTTTCATAAGAAACACATGCGTGAGTCAACTCTTGGTCCAAACTCCAATCCAGACGGTGGCGGTAATGTTCCAAAAGCTGGTTGCCAACCGCTATGATGATCACAAGAAGAAAAAGAAGTTTGGCGTTTCAAAACAGTGGATTCCGGTCAGAAAGGTAAGGTTTTTGCTGCTTGTATACTGTATACTTTGCGAATTTAATGCTTAAAACATTTTCACAGTGTTAGGTTATTGTTAAGTTATTGTTTAACTTGTTTATGCAGTGCATCAGTGATCGTTTACTGTTCTCTTTAAATTATCATTCTATTATTAAGAGAAATATATTAGTATGTGCTTTAATTTATATGTGTTAGCCTATGTGAATCAATTATATCTTATGTTCAAGTTGTAGTTTGCGCATGTAAAACTAAATTTCTTAAAGCAGATTTTGATGGGTTTTATTTTTTGGTTATTGACAGTTATACTTTCTGATTTAAATGAATGGTTATAAATGAATATTTTTTGGTTAAGTCTTACTGTTCTTGTTTAACAAAGGTTAGTGTGGTCATTTTGTAGCACATCACAGAGACCAATAGCACATTCTTATGAACATGTGAATAGGCATGTTATAGTTGGGTGATTAAAGTCCATGCTGTAAACTGCTGATACATTTTCAACATAGATTGAGCTTTTCAGACTTTACATTACTAATTGCTTCACAAACAGCTGAAATGGTTTATTGTTATTGGCTATCATCATCATCAAACATTTTCCACAATGGTAGGTTAATCTTCATGGGTACAGAATAATGCATGTGCTTGACCATCTTACAAATCTATGTCTAAGATTCATAAGGCTGTCACTCTGCATGAATCTCTGAATAAATCCTGTGTGCTGATTATTTACACCATAGGTATTATAGCCATTAATTAACTTTGATAGTATTTCAGGATTTTAACTTTTTGGGGGGAGGTTAACAACAATGTGATGTTTTATTATAGACACACATGAGGAAGCTCGACTCAGCTTGGCTTGCAGACAGATGAGGACGGTGATTGCCCGTCATACACCTAAAGAAAGAACAGGTTTGTTTGCAATTATTTTAAACACATACTGTCAACATTATGTCATTGATCTATTACACTGCCATTGTCATTGATCTAGTGCCCTGCACTATACTAAAATAATGTTTTGTTTTGTAAATGTATCTTATCAAGGGGCATTAAAGACACAACTATAGTGAAAGTGATGAAGAAAAATTATTTGGAAAAAAGAGGCTGGAGAAAAAACTGATATGAAGATTTCAGAAATTGATGCAGCACCGCAAGTACCATCACCACCAATGACTATGGCAGGATCCTTAAGAACACCATCAAGATGCACAAATGCTGTACATTCCAGTACACCTATGAACATTTACAGTCCTTGTTCAAGTGGAGTCGGAGATCAAGACAACTTATTGCAACTCGTCATGTCTTTGTAAGAATTCAAGACATCACTAAATTTGTAATGGCTTAATGCAGCTAGAAAGTAAAGATCAACTAGAGAATATCAGCAGTGTCTAACCCACTGTTGTATTTACACAAGTTGCATGAGAATAAGCAACAGGTTGATTTATACTAATTTGTTATTTTTCTTTTTTAGCACGACTGAAAAAAAGTTTTAAAATCATGTGACGTCATAAAGCAGCAACTGTGCCTGATTCTCACAAATCAGCAAAACCAAAACAGACGTGATGAAATTCCAGATGTAAACACATTTGACCTTTCTTTGTCCAATTTGATTTGGAAAAACTTGAAAATCAACTAAACGAGCAGCCCGAACAAATGAAGAAACTGGTAAGTTTCCTGCTTATTTCTAAGTGTTTTATGTTTATTTATTTATTTATGTGTTTTTTTGCTTCGTAGGTAGCCTACTTTGGAATCATTGGTGTTTTCCACTAAGCAGTTTGGTGTGTCCCGGGAAAGCTTTTGGCTCACTTTTTGGCTGAACAAATTAACTGGAGCAGGGCAAACCAAAATGTGGCCTTTCATGCACTCTCCCTTAGGACTGTCTAGTCAGTAAGTTGGTTTTAAATATACATTTCAGTACAATTAGGGGCTGTTCCATCTGTGTATTTTTTTGAATCATTAATCAAAGGAACAAAACATCTATATATAGTCCCATTTAGGTTGTACTTATATGAGAGCAAGCATCTTTCTTTTTTCATTTGTAATTGTTTGTCACTACTAATTGTTTGTTTATCTTTTAATCACAGATGTAGTGAGGAGAAATGTCCATACCACATCACTGATAAAGAAGTGGAAAAATGCATTACAAGGTGGCTACAACGTGCTCCTGACAGGGCTGGAGGAAGGAGGGAAGAAGAGAAAGCTAATGTGTCAAATGTCTACATCAATAATTTATTTTTTAAACAACATTTTAAGTGTATTAAGATGTTCCCTGATACTTGGGTAATTTGTTTCTTTTATTTGCAATATATATATATATATATATATATATATATATATATATATATATATATATATATATATATATAAAATGACAATATGCTAAATTCTGAAAAAGCATCTTAATACATTTTTAATTAACATAATATAATAAAAATATTAATAAAAAATTGCACAAGACATATAAAGATATACAAGTCCAATTTGATATATATATATATATATATATATATATATATATATATATATATATATATATATATATATATAATCATCTAACTCATTTAAATGTATTATTATGTTTTATTTATTAAAAATGTTTCTTAAGAATTCTGCAGTTCTTTTTACAATTTTGACTTGTATATTTTACATATTGTCATGGGTATTTGTAAGATGTTTCTTACATATGCTAAATATGCTAAATTCTGAAAAAGCATCTTAATACATTTTTAATTAACATAATATAATAAAAATATTAATAACAAATTGCACAAGACATATAAAGATATACAAGTCAAATTATATATATATATATATATATATATATATATATATATATATATATATAATCATCTCACTCATTTAAATGTATTATTATGTTTTATTTATTACATTTATTAAAAATGTTTCTTAAGAATTCTGCAGTTCTTTTTACATTTTTGACTTGTATATTTTACATATTGTCATGGGTATTTGTAAGATGTTTCTTGCTATATCTTAAATTGGTTTCTATATTCAGGTTTATATAAAATTAAGCTGTTTTAAGATGTGTCTTGTACAATTTTTTAATTCAAGTCTATTGGGAAAACAGGGTTGTTTTAAAAACTTCTGTGTATGTGTGCAATTTCAGATTTTGTCTTTAAATCTTCCTGTGTGTCTTTATTGTGTAGTTTTATTATTACTTGTGCACTACAAAATATTTTATTCAAGTTTAGTATTATTTGTTTATTGCAATCAATAAATGTTTATTATTTATTTTGTCCTTTGTTTGATAATTTTTGTTATTGGATATGTATGCTGTTTGCATTTTATTCAAAGGTTGAACGCAGTGCCTACACTTTGCCTTTACATTATAGCCTGCGTTTGCTGGTATATAAATGCAAATGGTTGTAATACCATGTATCAAGTACCAATATAATACCAAAAGGTTTTATATCAAGGTATATTGAGTTGCGCCAGCTCCGGGCTGCAGCGCACATTACTCGCGGGCCGATTCTGGCTCGGATGCGGCAGCGAATCTAGCTGGAACTGGCCCAAGTGTATTTTACTATCTAGGGTGGCTCTTAAAGTGACAGCGCGTATATTCCAACTGCTTATTATTATATTAAGCAAACAAAATCAAATCAAAACCAAAATAATAGTAATAAATCGTTCATTTTGAACTGAAGGTGTATACAGTGGAACACTTATTACTAAAGTAAGATCCTTTACTGGCAGTTTTAATATCATATTTATCCATGACCAGCCAAGGTACCAGCACAAAACATGTAATTATGCAAGTATAGATTTTGAAATGAATTACAACAAATACTAAGATTTATATCTCAAGGCAACTAGTAATTCAGATTGATTGCTCTAATTGCCCTGCTGAAAAAAAACAAAACAAGCATATGCTGGGAAGGTATATGTTTTGATGCTGGTATGCTGGTCTTGCTTGTTTTAATGCTGGTTTTGCTGGTCTTAATGTTGGTTTTGCTGGTCTCAATGCTGGTCCTAATGCTGGTTTCAATGTTGGTCTTGCTGGTCTCAATGCTGGTCAGGAGCAGCACTTAGACCAGCAAAACCAGCACTGAAACCAGCAAGACCAGCATTGAGACAAGCAAAACCAGCATTGAGACCAGCATCAAAGCATACCTTACCAGCATACGCTGTTTTTTCAGCAGGGTGTTGTGAATAATTTATGGAATATTCTAAGGTTATTAAAATTGATAGTGTTAGGTAGTCTCAGAGATGTGCTGTAATTGTTATATATTTAATATAATTGTGTTTCCTTTTCATGTGATTAATTTGACTTAGTGTTTGTGTTTTTTTTTTTGTTTGTTTTTTTTTTTACAGATACACTACCTCGTTTTTATACTTTAGTGAAGAACCGCAAGAAAATGAATGTTTTGGTAAAATGTATGTCTTTTTTTGCCATGTGTGTTTACTCCGATAACATTTTATTTATTAGTACTAATTTCCAATTGTATTTTTTTTGGTTCATTTAACTTCTGTAGTTTCAGACCATTCAGACAAGAAATGTTCAGTCAGCACAACTTAAAAAAACAGAGCCATCTGTGTTTGCTCGGATAACATATAATTTCTTAGTACTAATTTCCTTTTGTATTTTCTTGTTCTCTCAACTTCTGTCATTTTTGGCCATCCAGACAAGAAATGTTCAGTTAACACAACTTTTGCTCTGGTAACATATCATTTCTTAGTACTAATTTCCTTTTGTATTTTCTTGTTCACTCAACTTCTGTCATTTCAGGCCATCCAGACAAGAAATGTACAGTTAACACAACTTTTGCTCTGGTAACATATAATTTCTTAGTACTAATTTCCTTTTGTATTTTCTTGTTCACTCAACTTCTGTCATTTCAGTCCTGCAGACAAGAAATGTTCAGTTTGCACAACTTAAAAATATTTGTTGTGCTGCAGGTGCAGGTTTCCAGAAAACTACTAATGTTAAGTTGACTCAACTAGACATTTTTTGTTTCACTGACAAATTATTTTCAGTCAGTGTAGCTGATGTTTTCAAAAGTTGAGTAAACAAGAAAAAACAGAAGGAAATTAGTACTAAGATTTTTTTTGTTGAACTGGCTTAAAATTTTTTACAGTGTTTCAGAAGACGGTTTGAATAGCACTATTTAGTGGTTTTCTGGGGAGTCTACTAGTATTCGGAGACAGAAATGTAATAATCACAGTGCAAAAATTGTTTTGTCTCGTTTCTAATTCAAATATATATATATATATATATATATATATATATATATATATATATATATATATATATATATATATATATATATATAAAGAATTTTAGACCATGTAAAATATTGTACAGTTTTCAGCGCCAGAAGAAATAAGTGAACATTAATCCCCCATCTGCCAGTGGGGGAAGTAAAATAATTGTGCTTTCACAATGAAAATATTAAATGTGGATACATTTTTTTTTCGCATAAATCATGTAAAGTCCACATACATACAGCAACTAAATACAATTCTGTAGCTCCTGATAAACTATAAATCAGACTGGACAATGCATGCAGATTTTTCAGATTCTCAATAAAACTAAAGGATTTAGAAATTGAACATTCTTTTTACCCCAACGCAATTGAATAGGCCACTAAAAACGCTAAATGACTTGATTCTTATATTTGCTTAATTTATGCAGCCTATGGCCTATACTTCTCACCATGTAATGTTTCTTGTCTAAAACATACAGTATAGAAAACCAAAACAACCAAACAAAATAATATTTTAATTGAACACATCACATAAAATACACATACAGTACCGTCCTATCAGCAAGCACGGCGGCAGAGGCAACTCATTGAAGTGGCAACATCTGTACCTTTGCAGATGCAGACATTGTTGAAATGATGTATCGTGCAGTGGTGAGTTTTCCAAACAATGACATAACTCGCGGCTGAACTATCATAGTACGATGCATTGTTTGGGAAAAGAACGATGTAGTGACGAGTGTTTCCCAAAACTGTAGTTTCTATAGTCGCAGATTCATCGCTTGAACCATGTTAGTTATAACGTAAAACGCCCATAATAATGCTCTAAACAGGGTGGAGTAACTACTTCTTTAAAGAAGAACCCTATAAATTTTTTGTGCAAATTATATTGTTTACACACACAGGCACTAAAAAAAGATCTGATATTAGTTTTGATAAAAACAAGCACTCGTTATTCATATATTTGAAATATATGTAAACGGCATATATAGGGTGTATGTTTCCTTTACAAATACTATAGAGAATACTCTTTATTTTATTCTAAAACATAAAACCACTAGCAAAAATCTAACACATAATCTCATGTATGAATTATACAAAAAAATAATGAGTGTATTAATTACGATGAAATTTAATTAAGAGCTTTTTATCTGTCGTTTTTATAGAGCTTTTATCTGTCTTTCAGATACTGTGTTTTGACTGAATGCGTCTCCTCTCTCATGTGCTTTGTCTTTATGTCAGTGATGGGCAGATTCACACACCACTGACAGAACCCTCTGATTACAGCAACACTCTCT